TACGCAAGTTTCTGGGCTCAAATTGTGCGTACGCCAGTTTTATAAATCCGACCCCTGAGCCTTTCTAACAGTTACTATCATGAAGAAAAAAAGCTTAAAATACAATTTTTAACATAAAAATCTCTAATTGGAACACATTCAGTTTGTATTTTGAGGCTCTAAAGTAATTCATCTTGGGTGAACGGTGTTTCTCCATCTTCTGAGTTTATGGGGACATGCCATAGATATGAGTAAAAAGTATAAAAATGATGCTAAACTCACCTGGTCCACAGGTAGAACATGGGTTGCACTGCATTTGTCCGTTGGACTTGTCAATAAAGGTTCCACTTGGACAATCTGCACAATCTGCACCTGAGAACTGAGTGCAGTGTTTTATAATGTGACTTCCTGTTGACAAACAAAAACAACATTTTAGTCTAAAGATGTTTTGTTTTTCTGCTGAGCAACGATTACAGGCAAAACACTTTTTTTCTCCATGAAATAAATGAAGATCAAATTTAAAATAATAATTATTTGTCACTGCAGGACACACGTCTGTTGGTTTTCCTACAATAAAAACTATTTCACTGATTCTTTCTGTAGATGTTTTGATACAATCGGTTATCGTCCACTTTTGGGGCGACAGGAGGTAGGGTTCATTCTGTAACTGGTGGGTTGCTGGTTCAAATCTCTGCTCTCTCATGAACTGGTGAACATTTTACAGAATCTGTCAGTAGTCACCTGCTGTACATCTGCAACTATTTGGAGTAAATCTAATTAAAACTCTGCAGTGGGTGAAATGTATTTATTCATGGAATGATAGTCCTTTAACTTGTATTACTTAGTTTGAATCATCTCTTAATGTAAATGCTTCTGCAGCAACAATTAATTCTGATTTTTTTTTGGACTCCGATACAAAATGATACAAAAGGAGCCAAAAAGCCAACTCATAAGAAAACAATCACAAATATTATTCATATTTTAATCCTTGGGAAGTTTTCCATCAACATCCAGCCTGAACTCACCTGCAGGACACAGAGGACAGCACTCCTCTCCTGTCCAATACTCTGATGGTTTACATGAGCCAGCACACACAGTGGGTACGATCAGTAAAATAACCTGGGTGATAAAAACGGACAAAATAAAAAGGAGGATTTAATAAAAGACAAAAAGGGAACAAAGTTAATGAAATGAACAACCACCAATAGAAATCTTTAGATGTTGGCATGAGAAGATCAGTGAGAAAATAAAAAAAGTAATTTATTTATTATATATTTACGTACTGTTATGCAAGTATGTTTAACTTGAACATGCAGGTATAAGTACAGGTACATTAACAAGACCTGAACCTCAAAATGTCCGCAGTAAAACAGGCCTGTTGCTCTTTATTTAACAGAAGCAACTCAAAATTTAGCAAAAACAGCTTTACCAAAGACAATATGTCAAAATAAAAGTGACTTCAAACAAATTAGCATCGGTTTGTCAAACTCACAATTCATAAAAGAGCATTCTTGAAGTTTGACTGTTAACTTGTACCTGGTGTAAACAGAATCACTGATCTAAACAATATTATCAAAGTATTAACAATAAGCCATAACTTCACAGAGTAAGACAAAAACACATTTCAATATGTATATTTTTCTGTCACATAAAGACTGTTAAAAACAAGGGTTTCTTTTACCATC